GCCGCCCTAAAAATGCGTTATTCGTGTGGTCCAGCCCCTTTAGCCCTCTTTTATACGTATGCTCCGCGTATTTAGGCAAAAAGACCCGAAATGCCCTCGTCTCTCACTGGGAACCGGCTACAGGCAGCTATCAATGATCGTCGATCTCTCCCATCGCAGTTAAGGTGAAGAGACTGTCAACAACCGTTCTGAGCTTTAAATCCCCTCCATTACTCCTCATAACTGTCTTCATAACTCTCAACCACTCCCAATGGCCGCCGATGACTTGATTTGTATGGTGTCTTTAGGCGAGAAGGCCATATTTATGAAGCCCCCTTCATCTGTCAACAACCGTTCTGAGCTTTAAATCCCCTCCATTACTCCTCATAACTGTCTTCATAACTCTCAACCACTCCCAATGGCCGCCGATGACTTGATTTGTATGGTGTCTTTAGGCGAGAAGGCCATATTTATGAAGCTCTGCTCGACAACACGGTTTTATGAACTGAAATTTGATGTGGCTGAAAGAATGAAAGTACCTGAAGAAGCTTTATCCTTGGTATATAAATCCGAGAGGCACCCCAACTTGACTTTTTCGGTTGACAACGAAGATGACTTGAAGTGCATGTTGGAGTACAATCGAAATGTCGGTTGTACAGAGATTCACATGCTCGCTGTTGTTAATAGTGCTGTTAATAAAGAGTGTTCCAGTTCTGAAATAAACCAGAAAGTTATTGGTGGAATGTAAGTAATTAATGACTCTTTATAACATTTAGCTTTGTGTGACGTGAACATACTGATTTCAGGCTTTAAGGCAAAGCCGCATAACATTTTAAGTGTTTTTTAACTTCATCTTTTGGAATCCCGTTATGAGCTTTGAATCCCTTCAAGTTAACAAATTAATTATCGTCATAACTGTCAACAACCCCCAACGGTTTCCAATTGCTCGACGTGCACGGTGTCGTGTGACGTTATTGCTATATTCTTCCTATCATGAAGTGCATGTTTGATCTAAAGGATTTTCACTTGTTGTACGGAGATTCAGATGCAAGTTTTTGATAACATAGAGTGTCCTACTTCTTAAAGGAAGTACAAAGTTATTACTGATTTATATGTAAACAATGAACTTTGGCTCAAATTGGGATTGTGTGATGTAAAAATTGTGATTTCAGGTTTCGATGCGCAGTAGAAAAACATAGTTGTCATCTTCGAAATTTATACGTTAACTCTTCATCTTTCATGTTATGTTTTGACGATATATGTTAATCTTCAATTGAACATGTTAACTTTCATGTGAGCATGTTAACTTTCAGCGTAACGAGTTATCTATGTAAATTGTCTGTTAAATTCCACTGCTCTTTAATTAATTCATACGAAAATGGTTTGTTTTAAACATTATAAGATAGTTTTATACTCTAGTGTAAAGTTTATATCACTGGCTGATTAATTTTTGCAGCAGTGATGCCTCTTTGAATGAAGAATATTGTCATCCCCCTTCTGGCGGAAATGCTTCCAATTCAGAGAGAATCCCAACTGATTGCCCGTCTGGTGAGAACGTAGTGAGAGCTGATGATATTATCAGTAAAACTTACAGCATTCCAGACTGTTGGCACACAGCATTAACTGGAAAGGGCCAACAATTTGAAACTGCCATAGATTTAAGACTAGCGTTGCAATACTATTCCATGGCGAAAAAGTTTGACTACGACTTTGTAAAGAATGAACCTAAACGTATCCGAGTTATTTGTCGATATAAGGAGATGTATGTATGCCCTTGGATGTTGTTTGCATCCCCTGTAAAAAATAAAAAAAGAATTGAAATCAAAAGGTTTGTGAATGAACATAGTTGCGGACAACATACTAGCTTGTCAGGGCAATCACGGGCATCTCGTAGATTCGTAGCAGAACAATTGCGACCTGTCTTAAAGGTTCGACCTGAAATCCGCCCAAAGGATGTGCAAAAGGAGTTCCTCACTCGATATGGATTGAGACTTGAATACAGTAAGATATGGTGGGGCAAAGAAAGAGCGCAGGAGGCTATGTATGGTGATAGTTATGAGTCTTACGATCAATTAAGATGGTAAATTTTATAGTTATCTGTTTAAATGTATAAATTTATCGTGCAATATATTTCCTTAGATGTTTCCATATTTATTTTCATAAATTTATATTTCAGCTGTCACAGTGGACTGTTATGTTTCATGGAAAATTGTCAGCTCTTACATGTTAATATACATTACCCTTATGTTCCAATGTATTACATTTACGTGTAATGTGGTCACACTGTTGTACAGGTATGAGCAAAAGGTGAAGGAAACAAATCCAGGAAGCTACATTTGCATTGACCAGAATGAAGGAAGGTTCAAAAGACTGTTTATATGTTATGCTGCTTGCATCGTTGGTTTCTTAAATGGGTGTAGACCTCTATTATTTTTGGATGGGACCTTCTTGAAAGATAGATACAAAGGCCTGCTCCTGAGCGCTGTAGCATATGATGGAGACCAAGGGATATTTCCACTTGCGTATTGCATATGTGATCAGGAAAACGTTGATAATTGGAGCTGGTTCCTGCAAGGCTTGTGGTCTATACTGTACGAAAGGCCAGACCCATACAATCCTCCCCATCAACTGGTTATTATTTCTGATGCCGACAAGGGAATCCAAGAAGCGGTAAGAGAATATTTTCCTGAAGCAATTCACTCAAGATGTGTTCTGCACCTGGTTGAAAATTTTAGATCTAAGCTAAAGGATTTGGGAATGAAAGCAAAGGACACACATGTTTTGGGGAATTTGCTCCAATCAGCTTGCTATAAATACACTGTTGCGGAATGGAACGACTACATGAAGGATATATATGAGATGTCTCCAGCTGCATATGAGATTGTAAATAACTACTCGCCAGAGCATTGGGCGAATGCCTTCTTCCCTGGCATTAGGTACTGCCCTCAATCATTTCTAGTGAATATCCCCTTTTGCAGGTTAACTATCGGTGATATATGTTATCGTTTATCACTATATGTTAACTTTCATGTTATTATGTTAACTTTTCCTACTAAAGGGAAAGTTTGGTGGTTGCGTGTTAATCTTATTATATATTGGATGCTGAATGAGACTTTGTTTTATTTTGATGTTTGCAGATATGGTCATGTAACCTCTAACGTTGCAGAATCCTTTAACAGCTGGATACGTGAAGCTCGAATGCTGCGTATCCTGCAAATGGTGGAGCATATCCGCAAGCAAATTATGACTCGCATGAACAACAGACGCATAATGGCTGAAAAGTGGACAAGCTATCTTTGTCCTAAAGCTGAGCAGATTGTTGGAGAACATATGGAAAGAGGATCTACGTTAGAGATTAAGCAATCTAGAGATGATATATTCGAAGTGCAATCACAGAGAACCACTCACGTTGACTTGGGGAAGAGGACATGCACTTGCCGTGCTTGGGACTTAACTCGTATTCCTTGTGTGTATGCTTGTGCAGTCATCATTTATATGAAAAGAGAGGTATATCAGTATTGTGACTGGTTCATGTCCGTAGAGGCGTTTAAGAAGAGCTACGATGAAATATTATATCCCATACCAGATTATGAGATGCGTAGTGTGCCCAAGGATGAAATCCAGATTTTGCCACCAATTACCACGAAGAGGAGGGGAAGAAATAGAACAAGACGCATAAACAACATAACCATTATGAAACGTCCTGTCAAATGTGGTCGATGCAAGAGCGAAGGGCACAACCGAGCAACTTGTAACGAGCCCATCCATGATTAGTGTGCCATGCTTACGAAGAGGAAGAATGGCGCTAGTGAAATATAAGTTGTCTTTAAGTTTCCATTATACTAATGGGAGATTTTTGTGCTCTGCTTCCAGACAGCAGGAGGTTTTGAATTTTGTACTTAAACATGTTAACATATAACTATCTCTATACTACTACTACTTTTAGCTGAATTTGTTATCATAAAGGCCCACTGTTTGAGGTTAAATTGCTGTCAGGTCTCAAATCTACGTGACATATTCCAACGACTAGTTGGTATACTGTTCCAACAGACATATTCCAACGGCTAGCTACTTGTTCCATTTGCTTTATATAATGTTATGCAAGGCTCAAGTAAAACCATATCTCTTGTTCCCTCCCTCCCTTTATAGCTCATTTAGAGACTAAGATGAAGACCGAGGATGCCTCTCAATCAGTAGAAGAGCCATGTTGTTTCTGCAAGCTTCCAACCCCCCCTCAAGCAGTGCAAAATTGGGAGCAACAAAGGTAGATACTTCTGGGGATGTGCAAAGTTCCCAAATAGGCAATGCAAGTTTTTTGCTTGGGCTCACAATGTCAATGCAATGAAGGAGAACGTGGCTGTTCACCAAGAAGCACCCGCTGAAGATGAGATAGCAGCCAAGGTAAAATATTTGAAGAAAGCATTGAAGCAGTCTAAGCGTGAAGTTGAAAAATGGAAAACCTGTTCGTGCTTTCTATGTTGTTTTTGTGTTGTTCTAATTTGCTTAAACATTGTGATATGCAAGCTGAAAATGAACTGATATATGTGCAGTTCATAGCGGAACACTGAATCGTCTAAAAATCGCTCTTCGTTTTGTTAGTTTATTGGCTATCAATTTGTAAATTTTTCCCTGAATTGGTTAGCTTTCAGAGCTGTTTGATCTAATCCAAAGTGGGTAGCTGAGCGGTTGACATGTTAAATTTTGCACAATTTGGTTTAGAGCGACAGGTTTAACTTTCAGTGTAACTGCTTAACTATTTCTGGCGCTGGTTAACTTCCAGCGAAGCTGGTTAACGTTTACTGAATCTGGTTAACTTTTTCTGAAATTGGTTAACTTTCGCCAACACTGGTTAACTTTTGTTGTAACTGGTTAACTTTTGCTGAAAATGGTTAACTTTTGTCCAATCTAGTTAACCTCCTCCGTAAACTGACTAGCTTATAGCAAAATTAAAGAGTACATGTCAAGCAGGTAGTATCAGACATATCCATAACAGTTCTGTTTCAATTTTATCGTAATGTTAGAATCGGCTTTCGCCCACAATGTGCTTCAATCTCCCCTTGCTGCCTCTGTTCCCATCCTTCCTCAAGAAGTTTGGCTGCAAGCCTGGCACGCAAGACGGCCGAATTGTCTCCGGGATTACTTACCTGAATCGCATCATTCCCATTGATTATAGCCTTCATGTATAAGGGAATGAAAAGCCCACAATCAAAACTGCAATTAAAGAGTGCAATAACAGTTCTGTTAGATATGTGTTGTGGGATGCAATAGAATTAAATTCAAGTATGTTAATTACTAACATTCCAGATTGTTGCTCGCAAGAGACGCCCTCATATCTAAACTTCCTCCAAACATTGTCTGGATCAAAACCAGCCTTCATATGGTCCATGAAGCCAATTACTTTATTCACCGGTTCAATATATGCATCGTGGGTAGCTGAGCTGTAATGCTTGACAACGTCCTCATCCAACCTGACTTCAGCAAGATGCCAATGGTCCTGACGCACAAGCGGGATAAGGAGTACACTCTTCCTCGCAGCAATATGCTTTTGTATAAATGAAGTATATATGTGTGGGAAATCAGGAGTGTTTGCATAAAGGCTGTGCTGTATAATCCAAGTATAATGGAATGTTATGACGGGAGTAAACACGTGTTAAAGAATCATAGTATCGTAAAGTAGATAGCTTACGTAGAAGAAGACTAATACAATCCCATACTTATGGCTCAGGGGAACCATTTCTGGCCTATCCAGCCATGAGCTTATTCTATCGATCAAAGCTTCCATCAACTGAAAATGGAACATACATAAGACACACATTAGATTGCATAACAACCCTGTCAGATTGTGAGGAAAAATTGCATAAGTGAGGCAATTAAACTTGCATGGTCGTCAATACGTCCCCCTCGTAGTAGGTTGAGAAGCTCCATAGAATCAATACTACTGTTTGACATTTTTAAAACAATACTTGACCTGATATATGACAGAAAGATACAAAGATTAACATAAATGGTAAAACGTTAGCCTGATTCTGGAAAATTTAACATATAACAATGAACAATAACATGTTATAGCATAAGTTAACATCAATGAGCATAAGTTAACATGTTTCTTTTAACATGAACATGCAAATAGAATTAAAGAGTTCGCATGGATTGAACTTACTCATGAGCTTTCTGATTGCAAAACTCTGAGACCCATCTGTTCTCCTCTAGAGTGAGCTTTGCCGCTACATGATGGGGTATTCTAAAGTTGTGAACAAAGGTTCCTGCGCTATCAACCAGGCGTATGCTAAAATCATCAACAAAAGGAATCCCCTCGTTCAGCACCTTCAACAGAGCCTCCTCCTTCTTCTTGATTTTTTTGGTTTTTTGAAAATCCCACGTGCATTCACTAGGCTTGCAGTAGTACCTGATTTTTTCCCTAACATCCTCCTTGTGATGTGAAATTGTAATTAATTCTGGTTAGGCTATCTTCTTCTTTTCCTCAGTGAAAGGGGTTCGGATTAGCTAAGAATGAGTCCTGATTCTGGTACTTGGTCCCCTTGTTCCCTTCGAATCAACTTTCTTCGACCACTTTCGATAAACTTGTAATGAGTTCTTCTCCCCCATACCCATCTCCTCTACTTTCTCCGCACTGCCCTTCTCTTCTTCCTTCTCTTCTTCAAACATCTGCGCTAGCTCTTCCTCTTTCTCATGTACTTTCATCTCCTGCTCTCTAACTTCCACTTCAAAGTACTCCTCTCTAACTTCCACTTTCTCAGATGTCGATGAATCTACAAGTTTATTCTCCTGCAAGCTATCTTCCTGTTCTACTACTAATTGCTCTCTATCCTCCTCTCTATTCTCTTGCTCTCTATCTCCCTCACTCAGTGCTTGCTCTCTATCTTCCTCTTTCTCCTCATGCTCTCTGTCTTCCATCTCTTCCTCTTTATATTCCCCTCCAGTCTCTTCATCCTCATCTTGGCCAACACACTGTCTCCCTCCTGCTCAGCTTGTGCTACACCCTCCGCAATATGCGAGGCTTCCTTACCAATAATGTGCACGTCGTCATAATCGAAACAATCGACATCGTCACCCTTGCCAATGCTGTCAACACTTCTTTTCCTCTTCACATGTGCAGCCCTTGTATGCCTGTCACTCTTGGACATAATCTCCTCCACACTTTTCTTCAGGTCCTGGGGATCAATCAGGTCAGCAGTTCCTTCGTAAAACTCCAATTTCCGGTTCAGCCTATGTATCTCCTTAGAACAAGCATCCCATTGAAGGCGCTTACTACGCTTTGTGGCATGGAGCAATTTCATGTTTAATTTGGTCGTATTCCTCCAGAACTAAATTTGCTGATCAAGGCTCAACTTCTCTATTTCATCTTCTTTGTCAAGCGCGTTCTTGATATGCTGGGAGACAATCTGGAAAAATAACCAGTAAGTTACAAAATTCAACCATCATAAATATGCTAGCAAATCAGTAAAAGATTATTGACGCTTACGTATCCTACGGATGAGCTATTTTGTCTGCCCTTCACCCTCGCTTGCTTCTCATCCTTTACGTTTTCTTTCTTCTCCTTCACTCTCGGCAATGAAACCACCATAGCTTTACTCTTATCTGATCTCGCAGGGATCCTTTTCTTCCCAAGGCGAGCGCTACTAATATTCTTCCAAGAGGGCTCCCTTTTTCCATATGATGTTTAGGGCAGGTTTTCTAATGCCTGTCATCTCGTAGAACCATAGCTGCCAAAATAGAGGCGACAATTATTTATCATTAATTCCCTGCACATCAAAACTCCTTATACAACTTCATTTCTTCGTAGCTAACTTTCATTATAAAAGTTAACTTTTATCAGTACTGGTTATATTTCACTTAAACATGTTAACTTTGAGGTCTCCATGTTAACTTTTAATTTAACATGTTAATTTTCACCAACACTGGTTAACATTCAAAATTGCATAAGTTACATTATCTAATATCGGTAGCCAAAACTCTTTCAATGCAAAACAAATGTTAAACCACATATGAACATGCAACTTACAGGGATGAGCGGCATGCATCCAGGGACGTACGTAACCCCTGGCTTCCTCAACCCTTCAACGGCAATGTGAATGCCTCTCTTCGTCTCATCAAAAATAAATTTACCCCACGCAATGTTCTTCACTCTCTCAATGCTATCTACATATTGAAACAACAATCTTGGAATGCCTTGCGAGCTGTTCGGACACCAAATCATTGAACACTGGTACAATATTTGAAGAAGAACAAAATCCTCAACGTCCTTATCGTCACTTGACTCAACAAGTGTTTCCAGTAACTCTTCAACATATTTCCTCATGCTACCAGGTTCTTCTGTAGCCCTGGCCTTTGCCTTCTCCTTGTCCTTGAACATTTCTTTCTTATCTTCAAAGCACTCCCTCCAAAGCCGGTTGTGAGAGTCTCTATTCCCATAGATCAACTCCCCATAAATAGGAAAGCCTGTGTGAGTTTGCACCCACTCTTCATCAAATTTGACTGAAATTAGAGACCCTATTCGGGGATTGGGAAAAGAGAATTCATCAGTTTCAACATCATAGTGACTGAGCACATGCTCCAGTGCACGTCGATCTCGGGCAGGAGGGCCGAAGAACACATAGTGTTCAAAGTTAGTGCCCTTTAAGGCATCCTAATGCCAATTCTTCATTTTTGAATGAAGTTTATGCATGAATATACAATACGATCCAAAACGTGCACTAGGCCTGATATCACCTACAGCATCACGTTTACTGCATAAACAACAAGACGTTGATTTG